TCAGTCAAAGGCAAACTATCTACGTTACGATTAAGGAATTCACGAACAGTTATCCTCTTGTTAGCTTCCTCGAAAAATTGAAACTTGGTTATTAATGTGAGAAGCAAACTCCCTTACCAACTAAGACATAACTCTTAAGGTGGTGAAGACATATTATAGAACTCATTCATGCTTTAAAACAAATATAGGAGCACCCATAGCTGTGACTGCATTGGTAGGGTGCACCTTAGTTATCGATACCACCATGGTTCAATTCCTTGCAATGTTATTAGACCCCAATGGGATAACTCAATGGTTAAGAGCTTGAAACTCCAAGTTAAAGATATCAAGTTCGAGCTTTAAGTCAGGTGGAGAGGGATTTGAGAATGAGGGTGGAGAGGGATTTGAGAATAGAGAGGGTTATCCTCTCTTGTATAGTCAATAATCAAATTAAAAAAAAAAAAAAAAACAGATATAAGAACAAAATGATTGACTAAGTCATTCTTTATTAATGATCAAATAATAACCACCTAAGATTAACAATCATAACCTAACGTTGGTATTTAATGAAAAGGATTTGGAAAGTAATGTTTTTGCATTGATTTTTAAGTACATAGCAGTATTGCTTAAGCACTGATTACATAGGAGTCTCGAGCCCTGTAGCAAACAAAACACCAATTCCGGATTGTAAACAATATAATTTCTTCCCAATTAAGAATTTAAGATAATTTATGCTCAGTTTAGTATCGCTATAATTTTTTGATTTTGCTTTTAGTTTAAAAAAATTTTAAATCTCTAAAATATAAAAAATTAAGAAGTTTTATAAATTAATTAATTAAGACTTTATTTAGTATAGTTTTGGTTTTAAGTTTTCATTTGTTATATCTTTAATAACTGCTACTATATTTAGAAATATAGTTTTAAACAAAGCCTTATATTTTTGCTTATATTACTTTTAAGAAAACAAAGATAAGGATGTAGAGAAGATTTTAAGAGAAAACGATTAATATGCTTACAATGAGAAAAAAAATTTTATCCACTGGTAAAATTGAAAAACAATAATTAATTTAAAACAAAATTTTAATTAATGATTACTTCTTATGGTCTTTTTTAGTTGTTCTAGTCTCTCAACTTTATATAAATCAGCAACAATTCCAACTTATTTTTTGACTTTCTCAAAAATTGCTTTGTTGATGACTGATGAGAAACGTTGTATTTTCAGAGATTGTCCTCCATCTGTTGTCCCCTTTTGTATTATTGTATCTTTTATGTTTTTGTGCATTAATTTAGACTACATTACTATAGGGAAACCATATTCACATTGCTAATGTGGTTTTGCGATATATTAAGTCGGTTTTGCTATGTTTTCAAAGAAGCTTGGGCATGCATCCTTGATGTGCTTTTACTTTTCCGCTTTTGGTGCTTAATTTTTTCTTTTTAGCAGCATTTGTTTTCTTTTCCATGGGCCCTTGTATTTTGTGAGTGCCCCTAGTGCTCTTTTGCAGTGCATTCTCCTTAATTTTGCCGATCTAAAATAAAAGTCGGTCTTTCCAGCTTTTACTGTCCTTTTTTTTTTTCTGAAAACCTAACTTACTTTTTTTTTTTCCTTTTATATTAGATTGCATAATAAGAGATAATCCCCTCACATCTTTCAACCTTTTCTATCTGCACATCATTCAACTTATTTATACTTAAAAGAAAATTATTATTAATCTACTTAGATCATTGACACCTAAAAGCCACTTTGTTAGACTGCATTTGGGGTTGTTTTTGAATGGCGCTTTTTCTATAGCATAGCAGATTTTTTTTTTTTTTTTTAGTTGCCATCTGCATAATGCATTGTTAAAAAGGTTAATTTTATTATTAATTTGAATTAGTATTTGTATATTTTAATGACCATACAGGGACAGAATGGCACATACATTTGCTTGAGGTCCTCCCCTTAGCAATGCGAGCAAGTCAATCATTAGGTGGAACGCACGGCAAAGTTAGCAATGGCATAAAAAACGTGGTTACTTAGATCGAGCTCTTCATTCTAAGTATTTGTTGGATTGCCTTGCGCTTGTTAGAACTGTTAGAAGAAACTGAAATAGTTGTGTTGTATTAACTCATGTATTATCATTTAAAAAAAAAAAAATCATGTATTACTATTAAGAGCAAACTGATTGCAGTAAAAAAGTAGGAGTACACCCTGTAATTTTTATTAAAAATTAAGAAAATAATTCAGAGATAATTTTTATTTATATAATTTTTTTTGTATAATTTTAAGTATTATTTAATAATTTATTCTTTTCATTTAGTAGTCTATA